TTTTTAACTTTAATATCAGTGTTTGCTCATTATCAGAATTTTTCCTGTAAAAAATAAAACATTGCAATTTTACATTTAAAATGTTAGCAAATACACAAATTTAAAATATAATAATTATTGTGCCAAATATTTTGTTATATCAAAATAATGATATGGTGGAGTGACTTGAATGTTTCTATCACCCAGAAAGTTATACTGGCAGGAGTTTATCTCCTGGTAAATCCAACTTAGCCTATCAGGACTATGGGTAGGAGCCAGCAAAACCTTAGCCACTGAGAGGAGCAAACCTCAATGACCTCAAAAACCTGTAGCAGACAGCAGCTCTCCAGTTACATAGATAGACAAGGATCCTGAGTTTCACCTGTTCAGATCTTTACAGCTAGGACATGCCACAGGGGTTGAATCATCATCATTTCATTGGTAAGAAGGAAGTTCTGCTCAGACAGCTTCTTACCAAGAGTCATTGCTTTGTAAAACAAACATCACAAGAAAATGCTTCCCTGATCACTATAATCTTAACATCTTCAAGTCTAAAGTCAACCATAAACTATACAACATATCCTCATAATCTGCACTTACTTTCTCCTCTTAAACATCAGCAACATTAAGTAACCCTCTACATTGAGTGGTGCTTGGGCTTATAATTGTGTGAGCATTTAGTAAAAAAAAAAAAATTAAATCAAAATAACAACATGGTGGAATGGCTTTCATGCTCCTATGACTGAGTTATCTCCTGGCATGACCAATCTAGCTAAACAAGGCAATAGGTAGGACCAATGGTAATGGTACTATTAGCCATTTTCCTATAAAGAAACATTTGGCATTCATTGACTGATCAACCAGTATTGTTTTTGGTTGAAAGTTAAAAAAGCTTTCTCTTAAAACACCTTTTAGAAAAACAGGTTTCTCAAGTCTAGTAGCTGTTATCGCTATTTCCACTATTGACAGGTGTTTCCTTCCAAACCTTCTAGCTGAGGTGGTGTAGGATGTTAACATCTTGATTATGTAATTACTTACTTTTCGAGTTACATGTGCTATCCATTTTAGTTGTTGCTGCTGTTGGTAGTCCTCAAATGATGCGGTTTCTGCTATTTGGTACAGTTCTTTGTTTGTAATTCTGTAGTACAAGTTCACAATGTTCAAAGAAGGAAGACCAAGACTCTCTGGCTTTACTTGCTCAAAGTCTTTTTCCACCATTAATCTTAGAAAACAGTTATGTACAACTGACAGTTTAGATATTTCTGAACAGGTTTGGTGTCATGCATGGCAACCATATGAAAGTCTCAATTTGATGAGTCTATTTAAAAACATGAATTGAGTTTTCAGGTTGATGCTTTGGTTTTGTAGCAATTTGTGGTATTTGGTGAAACTACCTCCAGCATAGTCTATTCTGTGTTCAATTTCTTTTTCTCCTATACTTAATAAACAAAACCTTAGTCACAATGACAAAATACCTGATACTGGTAGCAGCTCTCTATTTGCCTAGATTGGCAAGTATCAACAGCCCAAGACATTGGCTTCATGTACAATGATCAATGGCAGATGATAAGTGATACAATCAATTACAGCAGCCTAAACCAACCATTTCTAGTTAGCAGTTACTAGTAGGAGTTGCAGTTACTAATACGGAATTGTATTTACAATGTAAGTGTGAAAGAAATTGAAAAGCAATATGATTAATAAATCCAATTGTTCATCACTTGTCTTGTAGGTCAACAAGGAGCACTGAGACAGATAAGAGTAGAAAAAATTAGTTGATGGTGCTTGAGATCACTTGAAAAAAAACAAAATAATGGCACAGTATTTTCTATATCTTAATTTCATGTTGCTAATATGAGATTTATATTAAAATTTATCACAGAAAATTTCTTTTAACAAAAGTTTACAGTCCCCAACATATGGGAAGGCTTCATCTATGGTAACTGTAAACTAATGTTTGGTTAAGAGCATTCATAAAGAAGGAGATTATGTTGAAAAGTATTGGTTATATAGAATAAATATTTATTTTTTTCATCATTACACACTGATATACTTGCATTATATTTTTGTTGTACTTATATATATATATATATATATATATAGGTCAGAAGAGGGCAGCTCGAGGTGGTGTAATGGTTAGCAAGCTTGTCTTGCTAGAACAATTATGACTGAGTAGTGAGTTTGATCCTCACTGGGTGCCCCATACTTTCGGCCTTGTGCCACATCTAAGCTATGCTCGGAAAATCACTATATAGGTCAGAAGATCACTTGACATATGACAGTGAGTCACCATGCAGTGTTGATATGTCCACACACACACACACACACATATATATATACATATGATGAAAATATAATTTAAGTTATACTATATTTATGGGCAAGAGTGTTCAATATCAAAGATAGAGCATAAATAAATGTAAAATTGGACACTGAAGTCAACACCAAGCATCTACAGTTTGTTTCATGCTTGAACATAATCTTCAGGCCTTGTCTTCATGAACTAAAGTTTATGTTCAAGCATGCAACAGAGTGTCACTGTTTGGAGTTGACCTCAGTGTCCAGTTTTACACACACACACACACACAAACATATATATATATATATATATATATATATATATATATATATATGCGCACACATACACAGAGGGTGCAATGGGTAAATTCTTGCCATTTTATATTTTTAATTTCATGTATGTGCATTGTTTGTTTTTGATTTTGCCAACTGCACAGTATAGTAGGGTCAGTTGGCCACCATCTGTGAGAAAAAGAGCACCATGATGCAATTTACTCTGCCAGAAATTTGTAAATGGTATGTTGTTCTGTTTGGTATGTTCATGGTATGTTTTCATGCTGAAACTCCAATACGAACATTTCAGAGCATTTGGGTGTCAATCTGAGGACAGTACAGAGGATTCAGAAAGATTTGGATGAGTCTAATGGTGATTACAAATGTACAGAAGCTCAGAAAACTCATTCTGATTGTTCTGATAAGAAAAGAACTTCTGAATTTGTTGGTGTGGGCCTCAGACTCAATATGGAGACTTACATCAAGTGCCCTGGGTCAAGAGAGTGGCTGCTGGAAGACGCTGTGTCTGGCAACAGGACTATGCACCATGCCACACAAGAAGAAGAACCCAGTCATGGCTGTCAGACAATTTCTGCAACCACATCACCCACCTGATTTATGTGTGGGGCACAATTGAGAGAGAGACCAACAAAACTCCTTGTAACACCAAAGATAAACTGAAGGCAAAGATTATGGCAGCATTCACCAACTTAAACAAGAAGACCATCCAGAAGAATTGCAGGAGATTCAAAAGTTGTCTGGAGTCCATGATTGAAGCCAATGGTAATTTTATTGAATACATTTACTCTTTAGTATTTCAAGATATTTTTGTATAATTTTGGTAAATATATCTGTTAAAATGAGATGTGAGTGTTATTTTCATTTTTGCATTATTTAGATGAAAATTTATCTATTGCACCCTGTATATATATATATATATATATATATATATATATATATATATATATAATACACTACAGCTAATTAATCAACTAATATTTCTTTATTTTCAGGTCTGGCAAAAGTTCATTGGAGGAGATATTTTGATATTTATTTTCTTAAAAGAAAACAATTACAAACTTACAATATATTACACAAAATAATCCATTTCATAACAATGTTGAAAATGTCTTCATGTATGAAAAATATGCATTATGAAGTAAATGGTAATACATACAGTTAAATGTTCCCAAAAATGGCTGAAAATTTATGTTCAAAGTTTATTCAGTAAAAGTTTCCTCCTGTCAGTTCATACAATAAAGAACAAAAGGCAATGTTTAACCTTTGTGCTCACAAAAAAAAACATGAGTCAAAAGGATGGTTATTCCCTTAACACCACTATTATTATATACACTTTTGATTCACTCAGTAATGTTTATTTATTAGATTGGGGGAAAATGTATGACAAAATGAAAAAAGTTTTCATGTGATGTGTTTTGTCCCTTAGGACTTCATTAGACTAAATTTGTTATGTTGGTGCAACTTCACATGTGCACGGACAAGGGATTTCATTTAGATTCTTTTTCTTTTTGTTTCCATTACTTTTGTTATTAGATATCCCATGCTGTGATTATAGAAGAGGAATGATGAAATGTTGTAAGAGTGCAAATTTACAAGGCACATTTTTTTCACAGTGAACTGGTTTCTCCTTTGAGAAGAGTAAAAATAAAAAATAATTTTTAAAAAAAATTAAAAATTCCCAGCATCCCTCATTTGTGCACATATATAGTCACACCATCATAACAAATTTAGTCTGATGAAGTCCTAAAGAATGAAAAGAGTCACACAAAAAACTTTTTTCTATTTTGTCATACATTTTCCTCAATATTGTTTTTGATATATAAAAATATATATTATCTCATTTATAAGATTATAAAAATATGTGAATCATGTACAATGCAATATTTATTATTTACTGTTTATAAAGATTTATTGTTTACCATTTTATAAAGAAATAAATTTGAAAAGAAATCTTTATTCAAAAATTTATAAAAAATTACAAAATTATCAAAATATGTAAACCAACTACTAGGAAATATTTATTATTTACCATTTTATAAATAACTATGAAAACAACTTTTTATTTGATCAAATAGTCTTTAGCATGTTTGTTGTCAGTTCTCAAGAATAAAGAAAATTATAAATCCACTTTTATATGTTTGGGTTTTGTTAAAATTTTAATCATTGCTTTTTAAAAACAAGGAGTCAAAAGTGTTTACAATAATAGCAGTGTTAAGGGAATAACCATTCTTTTGATACACCATTTTTTTTTGCAGGCATAAAAGTTAAACATTGCTAAACAAAGTTTCTCACTTCATTTAACAGAAGGTATATTCCACACAAATGTAAACCAATAAATGCTGAACAATTGGTGAAACAAAATAACTGTGGGTTGTCTTTCTTGTTAATGGCTGCACATTCCAGATTATTTCCTTTTGATGAAATATAGT